TGCTAGACTTAGTTGTTAGGAAAATCTATGTAATTGCAAAAGTAATTTCAAGAACCTTAATAAAGTACTAGCGTGATGCTTAAGTTAAAAAAAAAAAAAAAAAAAAAAAAGATAGAATTAAATTAGCCTTACTATTAAAAATATTCAGTATCTGTGATAAATCATATTGTTAAAAATCCTGCTCAGCTAATATGACCATTTGTATCTTTAATTTGTTATTATATTCATTGAACTGCCAATTCAAACTTTGGTAATTTTTTACAATATTGTTTTTAATTATCATTATTATAATTTTTAAAACTATTAAACTTTGACTTTTTTAGATTAACAGTCTGTAGAGTAACTAATATTACAGCAGTTTGTTGCTCTTGTAAATAATGTCTAATCCTTCAACTTTCATCATTTAAAATCTGACTTAAAATATTATATGCATTTTGTTCACTAAAAAAACATTTATAACTTTGTTTAGCAATTGAATACTATGTTATATATGTACCAAAAACATCTAAGAACTGACTCTTCATATATGAAATAGTGATATATTGTAACCTAGTAGAATTGCTATTATTTGATAATTTTTTTTGAATATTATATACTAAAATCTTTTTAAATTCAGCTATAACATTCTGTAATAATATAGAAATTCTAGTTCATAGAAAATTGTAAGAGCTATATACTAATCATTCATGACAAATAAGTTCTTATTTATTTTTAAAAGATTTTTGTAGACATAATTGCTAATAAAGTTAATATTGTAGGTTAAGGAATGTATTCAAGTTTTGTGAAGCAAAAGACCATGTTCATTTTTAAATTTTTTTTAGAATAAAAGTTACAAACAATTCTGGATAATATTAAAATATCTATAATTAATAGTAATAGTGAAATACATATATATATATAATATTACAATTTTTTTAGAGTTATTTTTTTATGATCAACCAATCAAATAATAATAATATAAATTTATTTGAGATATATTTTTAAGGTCCAATTTTGCAAATCTGCTGATATGACCACTACAACAACCTTTATCTTCTTCTATTATTTTACTACTACTCTCAACATTATCATCATATTCATCTTAAATTTTTTTACTTATGCAAAATCTGTAAGATCTTTATTTAAACATTGCAACACATAATGTTTGAGGATTTAACACAATAACCAAAAAAAAAATATAGCAAAACTATTGTCTCTATAATAATATTAATATTGCTTATATTACTAAAACAAAAATTGCCAATACTACTAACCTTTATTTTTGCAACAATAATCTGTTTATCTATTTTTGGGCAAACTCTGTAAATTCTGCAAAAGATGCTACTATTATAATCTGCAACTACCTTTAACTTCATATACACAACTGCTAAATACATGCTGAAGAAGTAGTAGTTTTAGACTTTTTTTTAAAAAATAAAATTAAATTCTATATTATAGCAGTTTATTTCTTATCTACTGATATACATCAATGTAACAAAATACAAAAAACAGTTATTTTATAGATTCAACAAGCCTACTAACTTAACTTTTATCTAATTATTCTTGGTAACTTTAATATACATGATGATATTTGTAGCTTATCATCTAAATTTTGACTAGCTAACTACTTACATCAAACCAACATATATGACCTTAAAGCATATGTTGATAACAAACATTATATATAGTCAAACAATATTAGTCAAAGCTGTATTGACTTTATATAAACTGATTCATTTAATTTACAGTTTTTTCTCTCATACAACCTTGATGATAGTAGCAACTCTATATCAAGTAACCACTTTATCCTTCTTTTTTCATAGTTTTTTACTAATGCATTTAGCAAACTTTCACACTATTATACTGGCATTAGTTATAGAATTTCTAATTACAAAGCCATGTTATCAGAAAAATAGACAGAATTTTTTAATTTGCTTTTTCAAAAACTTAACTCATATAACACTTCACTTAATCACAATACTAATAAAAGCATAAAAACTACTTGGCATAAAATCAAATACTCAATTATTTATTTTGCTATATACTTAATATCTAACAAAAAATCTTACAAATGTAGCTACAATTACAAGTACTTAGCTTATATCACCTTACTTTATCTATCACTTAAAGAACTTGAACACTTAATCAAAATTGTTAAAAATCTAAATAACAATTTAAATATTAAGCTAATTCATTTTAGGATTTAAAATATAAACATAAGATTTAACTATAATCTTCAAACCTTGTCTTCTAACCAAAATTCAGAACTTCAACAATAGATTCAGCATGTACAAAATATTTGAAAACAGCTTTATCATGTACACTATCTTAAAAACTCTCTACTACTCTAATAACAAATTCAACAAGCTACTGAAAAAAGATGTAAAACTCTCTCTATATATTCTAAACAAGCTATTAACAGTATTCTTAATTGTTACAAATCTCTTATTCACTTTTCAAACATTAAACTACCTAACCAACTAGTCACAGAACTATATCTTATTAAACAATATATACAATCTTATTTTCTTAACTGAACAGCATATTATTTAATTGACCAAAATCTATTTAATAATTTTTAATCTACACAATATCAATTACAAACATATATTGATACTTAATGGTATAGCTTTCTTACCATCTTCATTATGGAAAAAAAAATGCTTCAAACAATAGCAAAACTTCCAAATAGGAATGCCTATAGTCCTATAGGTATCAGTTATAAAATGCTTAAACATGCAGGTGCTGCTTGCATTAAAGCTATAACTGCCCTATTTAATTACTGCCTTAACTCGAGCCAAACATCTAAACAATAGAAACATAGCAGAATTTATTCTATTCCAAAATGAACTACATTTGATAAAAATTTTAATCTTACTTGCTCTATAAGCCTTATTGAATATATCTACAAAGTTTATACAAAAATTATTACAAACAGAATTAGCAAAATATTCCTATAACATTTAATTCTTTTACTATATAATTATGTTGCTTTGTCTAACAATAGTATCTCAATACCTATATACATACTCAATAACTTTACTGAAAATATATTATGCAATCAAAAACCAATTTGGCTTTTATCTTAAGATATGAACAAAGCTTATAATTCAGTTAAACTTGAACTTTTTAAATACTTCTTGCAATATCTTGCACTTCTTTCTACTTTTATCAATACTATTATTAATTTACTTACTGATTAACAAAACCAAGTTATTACAAATTTTGATCTTACCTCTTCATATCTAGTTTATAATAGTATTAATCAGAAAGAAACTATTACTTAACTTTTATAAAGAATATATTATGACCTACTTATCTTATACATTTATAATAACTTTAATAGATACAATACTAAAGTTTTCTAACCAACTAATCTTAAAAATCAGACATTTAATAAACTCAAATTTCACTGTTCTGTTCTTGCTTATATAGATAATACTCTATGAATTGCATCTTTATAACAAGAACTTTTACAAATTCTGTCAATAGCAAAATCCTTTTACAACATAGCCAACATTCAAATTAATCTTACTAAATCAATACTTACAACTAATAACTCTCTAACTAATTACAGTCCTATTATTTATAACAATTATTTACTTAATCTTTATTCTTCAAATGAACTATTTAAGTTTTTAGAATGCTGGTTTATACTTAACAACAAACAAACAAAACAAACTAAGCTTATTACAACTAAATTATCATATCTTATAAAAATTACAAGTACTAAAAAAATTACTGATACACATGCATAATATATTATTAATACAATTATTATTTCTACAATTGAATATCACATTCATAATATTGTTTCTATGTTAGAATATATATAACAAAATTCTTACTAACTATATTAAACTTGCCAAAAGCAAAGCCAAACTTAGTTATACAATTTTTACTAATATGCTACTCCACTCTTAACTATACAATATTCAGAATATATGAGATATTTAACTTCAACACCATATTACAAATTATACTAAAAAACTTAACTCTTCTGATCTTCTTAGTATTAGCACTCACATTCAACTTCAACAGCTTTAAAATAATCTCTAGTTACTTACTAGTATCTTAATTTATAAGAATCTTATTATCAATAGACCAAACAAACATATTACCAATTTTAAAATAATTCAACTTTTTAAACAGAGTGTGGTGACTTAGTAAAATGGATAAGTTGTCATACTTCCAAATAATAGGTTGTGAGTTCAAAATTCACCAACAGCAAAATTTAAATAATCATCTATGTAATATATAGACAGTATTATGGCAATAACATTCTGTTAATTAGTTAAGATAGGATATCTGTAACTATAGTCACATCAGTATAACTGGCAGGTCTGGGGCATCTGTATAACCTGTTACACAAAGAAATGCAAATTAGTATCAGGCAGTGCAAACCTAAAATAAGTCCTTAGGCTATATAAATTTGTAAAACTAGGAAGCTAGAGCTTACTTGAAAATTCTGAGCAGAGAAGTAATATAGATCTTTGACAATACTACTATAAAGACTAGACTTAAGAAATAGATACTAATATGAAAAAATCAGGTAGGCAAAAACCTTGGATAAGGGTATTACCAACTAGGCTATCAGATTTAAACAAAAAAAAAAGATATTAGACTGGCCTCAATATACTAAAAACAGGTTACAGTCCTTTTAGGCTATTTAAATTAGAAGTTTGAGATCAAAGCAGAGGTATACTAAAAGTACTAAGAATATGCTGTGAAGTCAGTGCCAGGATTTGAGTAAACTTTGTAAGAATAGCTCTTGTTAATGTTCTCAAAGTAAGTAGATAGTTAACAATAAAGAGCTTCCTGCATCTTACTAACAGATGATATACTCTAAAATATATAACAACCTGAAAACCAATACAAAAAGAGTAGTTATCATACTTCTCAAATGGTATACTAGTTAGGTATATATGAGAAGTTAGTTGGGGTTACATCATGACAAAACAGATGATTAAAGAGTTTAAATAGATAATCTTCTAGTAGGTTATAGGTATGACATCTAGTGTAGAACCTTAGAGCAGACAACTTAAATAGGCAACCAAAAGTTGCACATGTGACTAGTTGTACTCTCACCTATATAAAAATAGTTGTAATAGCTAACTTAATAAAAGTCAATAAAGTATCTTTACAAAGTATGGCCTAAAAAAAAAAAAAAAAACTTTTTAAACATTTTAGTAACATATTTATTTTTAACTTAACTTACAACATTCTATATACTATACAACAAGGTTCTATTTCATTAGAATCTTTGCTCTTCTCATATCCAAAATACTTAACTTTCAAAAAATAATTTAAGCATTATAGTATTCTATATCTTGATCAACTTATTACATTTGACAACTCATGCTTATTGGACTAGAAACATATTTCTTTCTGTATTTACAAGATTCCAAAAGCCAAACAGTTACTTTTGTTTACTTACTTAGAAGACCAAATTACAAATTACCCTTACAATTGCATTCTCTACCAATACCTATACTTACCTGACACAAACTACTATAGTTATACAACTGGACACTTCTTATTTCACAAAAAACTATAGCTTATTATAGTACTTGATAATCAAATCATTGCTGAATTTGCCAGAAGGCAACCTTCTATATTTGGATCTATTCTTATTACCTACTAGCAATGTAATATTGAATTACAATTTATTCAACTCTATTTCCTCTTACTTATTTAATTTTATATATGTCTAGGCTGTTCTCTTAATATTCAAACAATTGCTAACAAATATATAATTGTTATTTCTACTAATCTTTTAACTTGATTTTTGGATTAAGTTAACACTTATAACAAACTCTTAATTTTAATGCTAATCATCTTGACCATATATACTCTATTGCAATTCAACATTTTACTTAAATTTCAGACCTTCCAAATATTACTATTGCTACTCAACTAATTTTTATAATTTTTGAATCTTGTTTATTTATATACAATCTTTAACAAATAGCCAACTAGAATGCTAATATATCAGAACTTTACTTTTATACAGATGGTTTTGTTATTAATCTGAGTATCTCACAATGCTCTATAAATATCAGATAGGCCCAAATTTCTAATAACTCTATACTATATACATT